CGTCCAGGCGGACATCCGTCAGCGCGTGTTCCTTCTCCTCGACCAGTTTCTTCAACTTGATCACTTCAGAAGGCGTTATCGGCTCCATGTCTTCGAGCCTAAAACTGCCGATATGCGGTATACGGACTGAGTGTTTGTGGCTTACCGGGTCATTGATCCGGCTAGTGGTTTGCCGCAGTTTGTTCTCATTGGAGACTGCTCCACGTCCGAGACGCAGCCGTTCGGCTTCGACTTCTTCTCCTTCTTGAAGGCGCGACTGAACGAGCTTCGGATCTGGAACGTTAATGTCATTGTCCGCATTGTGAACAAAAAGCCGAAGGTAAAACGTAAGTGAAAACGTGCTAGAAAACACCGACGAATAGCGCAAAACTTTGGAAGCTTAGCAACTCACTGATGAGTCGACGCTTGATGCCTTAAAGAAAGGCCGTTAGAAGACGACATTGTTCACTAGCTCGGTGCAAACTAATGGGACTCAGTGTCGGAACTGAGAAATCACGTACCCATCCACTTTTCTTGCCGCTGCCCCGGCTGAAGTCGCTGTAGCACGCCTTGTCCGTTGCTCTACTGGCGGAGCTGACCGACGACTGATGACTGACGACGCTGTCCATGGATGGGTGCCTTGCGAAGTTGGAGCTCTGCGGGCCGACGTTGACGCCTGCGTTGATGCTCAGGACGCGAAGGTGCTCTATCTCTTGGCGGAGAACGTCGACTTCTTCTTGCTAAACGCACATGTCTTCGCATGATTTTAGGCTTTATCAGTGCAAGCTTCATTAGAGTGCGTCTCGTCTTCGTCTAGGCCTCATTCAAACCCGTACCTTAAGCTGAGACTTGTGCTGAAGCTTCTCCACGTGCTGCATCATCTGCTGGAGCTTGCAGCCGAAGCTCTGGATGAGGTGGTTGTAGCCGTCGTGCCGCGCGGTCAGCTGCGAAATCGTGTGTCGATAGTTGTTCATCTCATGATGCAACTTGCGGATCTCCGTCTTGTACTTTTCCTCCACCTGAAGGGCATCAGTTTCACCGGCTTGGTACACAAGCATGCTTACCACCACTGGCGCTCCTCCTGGCCCAAGCGAGATCTGAGAGCAGACGCCATGCGGTGATGCGATGGCACCGCTCGAGCCTGCGTACTGGACGTAGGGATATGACTGACGAGAGTCCGGACGGCTTGAGCTGCGTCCGAATGAGAGCTTGTGCAGTTGGAGACCATTATGGCTGGCGTAAGCCGGTGATTCGATGGCGCTTCTTGCAGACAGTGAGCCTAGATGTGTTAACATGAAATTCAGCTAAAAGTGTCAAAGATAAAGGTTTTAAAGGAGAATTCAGAAAAGTTAATTATGAAATTATTAGTTTAAATTAGTGAACTTTATGTTAAAAGCAAAAGCCGACTAAGATAGCGTCGTGTTAGTACCGTTATGCAAGTCAAATGCCGACGTTTCGGGAGCGACTGTGAACTGCGCCCGTCGTAGAATGCGGGGCGACCGAACGGCTTGTTTTCCTTGGCTAGCGCGTGGCCCGTAATAGTGCCTAGCGGACGTCGGTGCTGTACCAGTGGAGTAGTCATCGCGTTCGTCGAAGACGGCCACCATCGAGCGGGACATTCCTTGCGCAGCAGCAAGCGTTGGAGGGCAAGCTGTAATAAAGCGGGGTTATCAAGCTTGGTTAGGTGTATTGTGCGCGGACAGCCGTAGGGGATCATGGAAAAACCCGACCGCATGGTTCCGAGCTGGGGAGGAAAAGAAAGAGGCAGAATAGCATGACGAAAACGCTCACATTCAGAGAATTTAGAGTCGGCAATCGGAATGACGCACGGAACGAAGTAAATTGGAACTTCCTTCTCAACGGGACTCTGTACAATCAAACTTATCCAGAGAATACGGTGTCTGGTTAACACACCCTACCGGGCCACAAGACGTCTAATGTAGACCATTTCAGACTTAGCTAGGACTTTCCTAGGACTAACCCAGCGCCTCAAACGTGACTCGGCGACAGAGAAAAGCCATTCGCCGGATTAACCCTATGCGTCGCGTAGCATTGCGCAATGCGGCCACTCGGCACTGCGTGGACTTTATGAATAATCCCGAAAGCAAATGTCGCCTAAGGGCATTGCGAAATGGCGGCTACGCGGAATCGAAACAAAAGATTTCATAAGACAAGCCGAACTAGTTCCCTTGACAGGAGGACTGAATGAAAGAAGAAAGACTGCATGTACAATCTAGATATGCCGAAATCTCAGAAGATAATCCCAAGGCAAGTGACCAACAAAAGATCGTCTCTGACTAAGGTGTTTACAGCGTTTGCTTAATGAGCTCCACAGAATTCTACTTCCAACGTGGATCTCAAATACTTCAGTGTGCACGTCTCAACGTTCTGCATCGATATTTGTCAACTCTTAAAGGTGGAACTTCGTGTAAAAGAGAGCATTGAGTAAGGCGCAGGACTATGGCAATGTGAGGAGGAACAGTGGCATTAGGAAGCGTCCGTCCACCCGCATTTGTTAATGGAAGCACAGGTTAGAGGCGATGCTTCAAAGCGGTTAGGGTAGAAGCTGTCCATTCTCACCGAGATCGAATTGCCGCTTAAAATGACCCACCTTTCAAACAATGCGCGCCATTTACGGCACCGCCGTAGTGACTCTGCGGCGTCGCACCTGTCCTCGCGCGCGGACTGTCCATCATCGTCGTCATGGCCCAATGTGCGTTGTGGTCCTCTAATGCGTAGCCGACGGCGGCCGGTGCTGCTGACAGGCGATACGGACTGGACGGTGCGGAGCGGCCGCCCGACAGAGCGGCACGCAGGTGACTGTGCCGATCCAGGGACTGGCTGTAATAGGCTGAAAGAGGTCGGTTGGCCTCTTGAACTTAGTTCACCAGTGTCAAATTGGTATACGTTCTTGGTTCGGTCGTAAGAGTCATTCCAAAGGTCCAACATCAGAAGTATTTCATGCATTGTGACCAGGATGTGGGGCACGCCTAGTTGACATGAACCTGGCCAACCTGGACAAACGCTTATGGGAAGAAGGTGTTCATGTTTTGAAGTCGTGTCGAAAGTACGGACCGACGCTGGTGACATCGGCGAAAGTGCCGCAAAATTATGATTAAAAAACGGTGGAAATTCCGTCGGTGAGCGCTGAGCGGCCAGTTATTTGACCAAGTGCAAACTATGAAACAAAATTCGGTTTTTCGGATCTAATCCGAGTGATCCAAGCCTCAATTACCCTTTATTTTGGCTATTCTTTGGTCATCCTGCAGCCCCAAAGTGGTATTTTTGGGTAGATCAAAGCTTTTGCAAATTCGTACGGCTATTCGAGCAACTCCTCGGTTTTCTGGAATTCACGTCACTCGGAGTGACCATGGAACACGTGCAATCCGATACTCACCATTCTCCGCGCTGGCGTCCATGTCCGGCGTGCGTTTCATCCGAATGGGCGTGGAGCGAACGGTGAGAGTCTCCCCGTTTTCACTTAGTGCCAGCTGTGGGATAGCGGTGCCATTCACCGACGCTGTCGACTGGTAATGCAGACGTTCGGAGCGCTAAAATCACAGAGTTAAGTTCTTTATGAGTATTAACTACATTATCAAAGCTTAGAGCCGTCATGCGCCAATTAATCCTCTGCTATGCTCCAATAAATATGCTAGGATAAAAGAATGCTTGAGCCACACAAGACGGCATGAATCGTGCAACCTCTGTATCTCGGGCAAACTTCCATTTCACGCGGTACAAAGGTTGAATATCGTTGACGTTACACTTTCCGGCCTATGAACTCTAAAAATTATTTTTTGTTTCAAAAGTTTTCTCAGCAGCGGATCAGAAAGTCTTGCTGCTTAGCCTGCTAGCGACGGCACATTAAAACATTAAAACTTTTACTGGTCGTTAGAGAAAAACTTCAGTGCAGAGCCCAAAGCTAGCCGGCTGCCAGTCAATTGCGTAACGGATTGCGTACCGCACATTTCGCACAGGTCAATTGCTACCGAATAAAATTTCGGGCGGTCAATTGCGTACCTGTATATTGTCGTGCCTAAGAATAAGCCTAATCCAACGTCCCAAGCCTGAGCTTGAACATTAGCGTGGATGGTGGCTGTGTAACAGGGACTAAGCTGACCGAGTAGCATGGTACCAGATAGGTACGCAATTGACCGATCGACATTTTATTCGGTAAGCAACAGACCGGTACGCAATTGACGGATACGCAATTTGCGGTACGCAATTGGCGTGTTACCTGCTAGTCGGAGAAAGGCTACCGTCAACGAATAGTCAGTACGCACATGCAACACGCTCGTTACGCAGAATAATGCGTTAACTAGCAAGCGATTAGAGCAATCACTTGCTAATGAATTACAAGCGTCCACAAGGGCGGCTCCCGGGACAACAATATTGCGCACTACGCTAACGCTCGGGTAAACAATGCACGCGCGAGCGGCGCACTCTCGCGCTGACCGGTAACATTTCCGCGACAAGTGCCGCCATCGTCCTACGGATGACCGCTTGACCGACGGTCAACAGCTTGCAGCGCGCTGCAACATGACGCGCTTTATGTGCCTCGCAACAAGCTGCGCGCGACGGTGTTATTCCGCTTGCGCGACTTTCGTGGACAAATTTTGCAAAACCAATTCACTCAGGTGGGATCCGCGAATGAGGGAAATTTGAGAACACCCATGCACGCGTGAAGGGTCAGAAGAGGAGGACAATTGCGCGTTTATGGAGCAACGTTTGACGCCGTCGACGAAAAGAGGCGCGAAATCCCCCAAAATCCTATAAGTGGTGCCGAAACCGGCTTTAGCCAGTGCAACAAAGGAAGAAGTGATCAAGTCATAGAGGGTAAATTCGGTGCTCAATGCGCGATAAACAAAATCCTTGCTCTCCATGCACTGAGGGTGCCGCAAGGTGTACAGAAAAACCTCTTTCGACACCTCATCCAGCCAGTATATTTCTAGTCCATCTCGCCTCACGTGGGTACAGAGTCAGAGACTTAAAAAAGCAGCCTGGGTTCGCTAAAAAAATTCTCCTGACAGCCGGATTTGAACCAGCGACCTAAGGATGTCCGCACATTTCTACAGTCCTCCGCTCTACCAGCTGAGCTATGTCAGGCCCGAGGCATTGCGGGCGTCCCGAGCACACGTGTGCACGGAATTTCCATAATATTTTGCGTATTTGACAAAGAAGATTTCACTGCGTATGCAAAAAAAATTGTAAAAAGCGGAAACCATCGGAGAACGACATTGCACTGCACGAAACAAACAAACGAGAACGCTACACCCGCTCACGTACCTCTTTGGCTGGCGTTGAAGTGGCCACTACTTTGCCATTCATAGCCGCGCCGCCGCCATGTGAGGTGGTCCGGTTCTCGATCGCACACTTTTGTACGCCATGATGCGGCCCATTCGAGGCGGCTGCGTGCGGGATTCCACTGCGAGGTGTGGTCGGCCGCGTGCGATAATCACCGCCGCCGCCGAGTTTCCCATATCCGTTCGTCGTCGCAGTCGCGGCGGCCATCAGCCGGTGGTGATCCGCCGTGGTCGTCGCGTATCTATAAGCGGCAAAATATGCGTCGTTAGCGAAAGGCGCATGCGTGGTCGAATTGCCCGGCTTTATGGTTGCACCTTATTGCCTCTGTAACAAAAAACTTCGCGACATTTGCAAAAGGAATATTTTCGCAAAAGATGTTTACAACAATACATTATTGCATGGTTTAGCAGGTCTTTTGTGAGATTCCAACGAAGCCGATGAAAAAGGATAGGAATGGCACTGACTGCGCTCTGCTTTTAAGACTTACTGTTTTGTTAGGAACAAGCATGTTCCCTTCAATTAAGGGCAAAAAAGGACTAGGTATTCCGGACAAGATCCGCCATTTCATGGGTTAATTTTATTATCACGACACAAAAGTTAGGGGGGGGGTAGACTAAGGTCTAGGCTCGCGATGGGGTCTCTCGGATTCTGGCCCGTGCGCTCTCTTAACATACCTAGGATACCTTTTCACTGTTTACCTATGCTTTCGGACGTATCCCATTCAAAGCCGTTAGGTATTCATGGATCAGACGCACTCATTTTATGCAGACCGATTACTGATATCTATGCTGGAAACATTCGAGGCTGGCACAGAATGCACCTACCTCTTCGAGAAGCCTTCGTCTGCTTCAAGAGAGTACGTATTCTCGGAGTGGCCACTGGAGAAGGAGCCGTTCTCCTCGTACCTAAAACTTGTCCAATAAAACCTCCGGTAGGGCAACAAAAAGGCTGAAATCGGGCAGCCCACTGAAAATATGCAAATTGCGGCAATTACATAGCGCTAAGCGGCGGGTCTTTGCAGCGTGTAAGAGCCAAGAAAAAAGGCCGTCGAGGGTGCGCGAGGCCACTTGAGTGACCGACCGGACGTTTGGTGGTGGCTTTAAAGGCACTGAAGTGGACACTCTTTCGCGCCCCTTCCTGCTTCGCGCGAAAGCGGGAGTGACGCGAGCGCGGCGGATGTCCACAAAAGGTCTCGAAGCGCGCTCCGCGTTGAATGGGGTGGGAGGAAACGAGCAAAGGAAACAAATAATGCGCAAGCGCCGGGAGACAATGAAGTCCGGGGGCATCGGCTGCCGGCAGCCGGGTGACCCCCGCAGTGGTCATTCAGTTAGTTATGCAGTAGAATAACGAGAATGAAGTGTTGGCAAGAGTCTTAACGGAAGGCTCGCGTGATCGGTAAAAGGCAAATCGGTGAAGCGCACGCGTCCGCCGACCAATACCTGCAAAATTTTAGGCTGGAACTGAAACCCAAAGTGAATCGTCCTAAACCGAAACCCGCCCGCCCTAACACAACGGCTCATGCACCGAAATACAGAATAGTCTTGTTCCGGTGGCTGGACAAATGCTTCAGAAGCAGAAGCGATGGTATTTCATCAGTCATTTCTTACGCGTGCTAGGATGAGTAAAGTAAGTCAGCACTACCTAGTCAAGCGTAAGACTGACAGGTTTGTTACAAGGGCATCTATGGACGCTCACTCAACGGTCGTCGAGAGAACATAGAGTGCAACTAGTAAAACTGCTTTTTCTTCGTTCGAGCTAGGTACCGAGAAAAGCCAAATGCTCGAAAAGGGTACGCAAAAAAACAAAGAATGTTTGGATAATTGGGTCACTCGTCATGCGGCAAACATCATAACCTTTCATTTTCTTTCAGAATAACCGAAAAGCGTGACGCGACGAATTGCCTCATAGTCGTCGGGCACTTTGGGCTTTTCACAGCGAGCACTGTTGCGCGCTGACATGCACGCCGACTGCGCGGCCAATCGGTCGCTTTATGAAAAGGTGCTATGGCCCCGCTAAATTGACGCTTTGCGCGGGGCTAACATGGCCCAAGCCAACGAAGCCACGGGGCGGGCGGGACCCGCTTAAAAGGCCCGACGGCGTAAAAATTACGGGGTCGCGGGCATAAACAGGACGGATATGATTAATTGGGCGCGCGCCCGGTGAACATCGCTAGGCAACAGGCGAATATTTTATGCAGGTCCTGGATGCGGAACCTGCAAGGGTCGAGTTGGGGTTGATGGCGATTTGAAAGTCGAAAATACGACGTCTACGGACAACGGCGAAGGGTCAAGCAGTACGAGACCGCTACGGTTCCTGGGGTAGGTCACTTAGATGGACAAGTGCGTGCACCTTCAGTAAATAGCGTTGCGTTATTCACGTTAACGGAAGGACGATGCGCGGTTAACAAAGATCAACATCATCGAAATGTGTCGCAGCGGTAAATGAGCACTGCTACCTACTTTGGAAAGAAACCCGAAGGATACCGCTCGTTACTCAAAGCAAGCTAGTACAAGTACAAACGTAATGTGATTTTCTAAACTCGATGCTTTACCTTAAGCCGTTGGGCTCCGTCTGTCAGCTAGCACTAGCTTACCTGAATAGAGCGCTAATTTTGTCAAAGTACAGCGTAATGAGGTCTATTTATGGTGCAGACTGCTGCTATAAATGAAGTCGGTCCAAGTGAGATTGCGAGGCATCGACTTGCATAGGTAGTATGCAAAGTGCAAAGCAACTAGCGATGGCACCATGTCGGAAAATTGACAAAAATCATAACGAAGCACCCCAGCGACACTTTTCCTTGGCAAGGTTAGCAAGGTCGTATTCGCGATAACAACCAGGGTCCATCAAACGAGGCTAAACCAAAATCTAGGATAGGACTAGATCGTGTCATGACCCAATACATTTTGTTGGCCAAATTGACGCACGTGGTTTGTGCTGAGCGATCACGAGCATCTTAGCTTTTAGCGGGCTTAGTGAGCCCTACTGCGGTGCGCGACAGATGCACAACTTGCACCAGCGACTCTTATTTGATGCGGGCGCCGCGCGGAAACAATTTTTCACTTGTGTCATTCCGGGCAAATTTGCATGATTCGGTCCCTAAGTAATCCGCCGGGATTTCTTTCTCCCTCGCGAGCGCGCGCTTCGTTTCGTAATTCCTTCGAAACAAAGGACCCGTTAGCGGTGGCTGGACCGCATGCACTCTTAAATGCCGCTCAAATTGGAAGTGGTTCTTGGGTGGCAAATCTACTGGTAGCAATTAAGGTAGCATTTAAGAGATGTTACAAGCAAACAGTAAATGAAGGAAATAGAGATGTTAATAAAGGAGCGGTCCTGCAAAGCTGACGCAAGTTCTTCGCCCAGCCGACAAGGGTTATAGCTTTCCAGAAAAAAAAGATTTAAGAACCCGCTTTAGCCTGAAAGAGACAGACTTTGGCGCCCTGGTAGAAAACCGCCAAAGTCCAGTTCACGATGGTGCATCACTACGAGTACACTTGGTTTCCCAGTTATCTAGGGCAACTCAGTTTCCTGCACCCAAGACATGAATAACACTGCCGGAAAAAATACTAGCGTACGCAGATGGATCCTTATACACTAAAGCGCTGTTCCGTGTTCGTCCCCCCCCGCCAAAAAGTTTTCGCTATCGGGTCAAGTTTGGTATCATTCTGTAGGGCTTCCAAAGTTATGTAAAAGTGGAAAATTTCAGCTGCATCGGTTGGTTTCAAAAAATGTTATGATCGACCAAAGTTTCAAGACCTAGCTGCTGCTTGCATGCGATAGCGAGCGCTATGGCAGGCATGAACATTAGCCAAAGTCATGATGGAACATCAACTCGTACCTCAAATAGATAAATGATAAAAGCCCTAGATAAGCCGATTACGAACCATTCTTCACTTTGGCCTCAAGATCCCTTTTGACCCCTATGACCCCTATAAAGGGGAGTCAGCCCCGTGATTGGTGATGTTTCGAGGTCATGTTGGAACCACGCCTCTTGCATGAAATGAAAGCGCTTGATGAGCTCATTACGAACAACTCTTCATTTTGGCCAAAAGCCCCTTTTGACCGCTATAAAGGGGGGGGGGGGTCAACGCCCCAAAATGGTGATTTAACAAAAATGAAAATCTAGCATGATTTCCGAAAATAAAATTATTCCAAGGCGGTTCTTCCGAAGGCGGAGAGAGGTCCGCTTACATGCGACAGCGACCCCTATTTTGCATCTCTTGGTTGGAAGCCTAGCGTGTTTGGAAGGCGTGTTGGAGTTAAGGTCCGAAAAATGGTCTACTTGAAACAAAGATAAAAACAGGCATATATCCATGGTATATGCAATCCTCGACAGCGGCGCCGGCTGCGCGAAGCGCAGCCCAGCCGCTAGTAACTTATAAGCGAAAGAATTAGCAATCTTAAATTGTACCCGCGATTTTTCGAGGTGCAACACAACTGCTATTCAGTTGTCCCTCAGTTGCACCTTTTTATGCAACAGCAAAGGAAGCAGGAGGAAGCAAACTGGTCGGATGTTCGGAAGCGTCCGGTTGACTTCCGGAATTAAACGTATTATGTTGCAGGCAGGGTTCTCCCATTTCCACTTTTTTCGCCATTTTCATTCCTATTTCCCACAGGCCAAATTTCTGGCCATTTCCATTTCCCACTATCGACATTTGCCGTGATTTCCATTTCCGGAAATGGGAGAACCCTGGTTGCATGAAGAACACTGTATAGCAGCTAAGATATGCACCAAGCAGCTGCAACAACTGGACCTCATTCCGGGCTACGGCTGGTTCGAACATCGCCGCAGATGGGCCAACAAC